TCTCTCTCTCTCTCTCTCTCTCTCCCCGGCATCCAAGCGAGCCAGTCCAGACGGTCAACGACACTTTTCGGAATTACGCGATTGCTCGAATTTGCCGAATTACGCCCGATCCCAGCCAGCTCGTGTCTCTCTTCTGCCTTTAGTTGGTAACTCCTCGGTCGGAAAGAGTTCTCCGCGCCTTCGTCTAGACGAAAAATTGCTTGGCCGTGGGAGAAAATCTCCTCCTTTCCCCTCCGTGCGAGACGCTTGCACGGGAATTAGCGTGTAATCACCGGTACGGAGCGAACCCGCGAATCTTTTAATTACGCTTACGTTAAAGAGTGATTAACCCGTTATGGACCGTCGTGTTACGTTAACGTAATGCTTCATTTGCAATTCTTCTCGATCAATTTCTGTTATCGAATTGCGTGTTTTTAACGTCGGGGTTGCCGAAGGTTATGGAAATTCCATGGATCAAATTAATCCGTTTTCCGTTATTATAGTAGAGTTCTTTTTAACCGGTAATGGATAAATTGAACGTTATTTATAGGTTATGTACATTCTCGGACAAAAGTTTGTTATTAATGTTTCGCACTTGCATATCTTTTGACTATACTGTACAATGACAGAGTTTCTTTTAACCGATACATGGACAAATTGAAAGTTACTTTATAGATTATATGTACACTACCGGACAAAAGTTTATTATTGATGTTTTACACTTGCATATCTTTCTTGACTATACTCTACTATGATGTAAGTAACAAAATACAAGGAAATCATCATCATCATAACACTGAAAATGTGTACTAATATTAGATTTATATATATTTTACACACAGAACGTGTAAATATTCGCTGATAATGCACGCAACGGAGTAAAATATCGTGAGAATGAATAACATTAAATTAAAGTACACTGCGTTATAAAACTAGTATTGAACATGGCTAACGATGAATTTGATATGTAACGACTATCAATTTTCTCACAAGAGAGAGACACTAGTATATCCTTCCATCTAGGGTATACGATTTCATGAAACTTGAAGTAATTAAATTACCTGGAAGTATATAAAGTATAAAGTTTGATCCTTAATGGGGTAAATCCGTGAGGGTAAACTTTTCACATTAGAGAGATGTCGTTTCATGTCGTTTCATTTCGTTAGATTAAAATCGATCGACTGAAGGAATTGTTGGCTACGACTCTTGCAGGTGAACCGGCCGCTGACGATGAAGAAGGAGGGCATTCAGACGAGGAACAGGAAGCTGTCGTCGAAGAGCAAGAAGAAGAAGGCCGGCGGTTGCTTGGGCCTCGGCGGCGTCATGGGCGATATGATCAAGGCCAGTGGTCACCTCGATCTCGACAACAAGCCCTTCCATTCCGGGTTCGGCTCGCCCATGAGTAAGTACTCTCTTCTTAAACCCCTCGACCAAGTTGTAATCCTCTTTCCACGCGAACAACGAGAAAATTTGCTTAAACACTTATCAAACTGTTTTGATGTCTTTCTTTTGTGTTCGTTAAAGCGACTTCTGTACGTCATATAGACAGACTTAAATTATTTTCAGTCATAGTTTGTTCTTTTTTTTTTCGTTTAGAAATTGATAGTATGAAACTGGGGATGAGGGATAAACTCGAAGGGTATTTAGAAATTTTTAAAATTGGAACGTATGTATTCTGTCAATTATCAGTAGGAGGGGATATGTGTGTTTTAATAAAGTTGTTTCCAATCTTTTTGTCATTGCGCTTTACATACCTTTTTGGATTAATTATTTAATGCGCGTTGAACGTCCTTGACTGACAGGTCGCTCTCAGATTTCATAAACGGCTTCCCACACGCATAAAAAATTTCGAAACACGATAACAATTAGTAAGAAATATAATTTACAATTATTATTCATCGCATATAATATAATATATGTCCAAAAATTTAACAATACATAATAATGTAGCAGTATGATTTCAGTTATCTTAAACTAAATTAAACCTGACCTAACCTCATTAAAGATCATCCCCCACTTCGTTCTCTTGCTCATTATCACGATTACCAAACCAATAGTAGAAGATAAGTTATAAAAGTATAAAATAATATACTTATTGCTATTCGCGAGAGTATCAAAAATATATCTACTTAAAAAATATATCTTCACATATTATTTCTATCACTGAAAGTGAACTTACTTCCGACATATTTATTCTTAGATGTTTATTGCCATTAGTCTAATCATAATTATAATTACAATAAAATCAGTAAAAGAGCCCATATGACGTACACGAAGAAACTTATTCCGAGTTTCATAAACAATTGGTAGCGACGAAATTTACGAATTTTTGCCTCTCCCTCCATTTATCGTTGTTTTTCACGAGTACGTAGTGTATATGAACGAAAACGAATCGTGATTTGCAGGCACGTCGCAGCATCATCACACGATGCATCCAGCGATGCAGCACTACATGTATCACACGGGGGTGGGAGTCGCCGGTGGTCTTCACCAGGGTTTCGCACCACCAGCGCCACCACCGATTCACCCTCACTCGCATTCACACTCGCATTCGCATCACATGACGAGTCTTCAGGGTCTCCAGCTGGCCGCGACGACGAACGCGATGGTAAGTCCGATATTCTCTGTGATTTTCGTCCCTCTAGGAACCACCGTATTGTAGTAAATCTGAGACTCGTGTAACAGAATTAGGGCTGTTACGCACTG